GATCGAGTTGTTGTCTTATTATATGGTCAAAAGATCTAAAGAAAGCTTGCTCTACAGTTAAATCTTCAATGTCTAACTAAATATCGCATGATATGACAATAATAAATATGCGTGGAATTATTGGTGGTTACAACATAAATGGCACGGACAATGAGATCATACTCAATAAAATACCCAAGCAATATTTGTCTTTCTAAGTTCTGCTACACAAGCTTCTATACACTCAAGGATAGCTGATTGTATCTCACGCATGGAATTGGACATGGATTGATATAATTCAATCACTTCGATCTTTCGTTCTTCAAGGCACTCACGTATAGTCACATGATAACTTAAAAATGAATTAAAATTATTTTTCTTCTTAAAGAACAATATATATATATATATCTATATATATAATTTAATAATCAATAATCAAATACCGTGGCCATAAGAACACTTTGCGTAATTGAAGATACTGTAAAGTTGTTTGTAATGGTGAAAAACCAGTAAAGGATTCAGGTGAATCTGAAAATGCTTTAATAAATCCTTCCTGATATAAAATTAATAACCAGAAAATAAGTGTATGCACGTTGTACCAACTTATATATATACACATAAAGGACTGCATGCCTGATTTTCCTCTTTATATACTCTCAATATGAATGCCTCTATTGATGTTTCATTTACCCTAACAAAATTTTATACGCTTGAAAAAAAAAATGTTTTCAGGTTAAACATCACTTCATGTGAAGCAAAGTTTACCTCTCTGCATGGTTCACTAATATTCCAGTAATAAGATATGAAGGAATTCGCTTTGTCAATAAGTCCACTATAAGAATTCGAGAGGTAATCGACATGATACCACCCGAGAGATATAATTCAGATCTACAGAAAATTTAAAAATATACATTTTTGAAATAATATTTTGTAAAGCATTTTCATTTTTAGTTAGATATACTATATAGCTATTGCATACGAAGTATGCAATAACGGTTTTATTCAATGATTTATTATCTCAGCTTATTAAATAAAGATCAATGATATTATTATATAGGCTGATCATAGTACATAATTGAGTCTTTACAAATTCAGTACTAACCTTTCTTTGATACCCATCTCATTGTTCACAACCCTCAGCCCAGGTTTCCTAACACCTATTTCTGCGAGTTGTTCCTTGATGATAATTTCTTCATGTGCAGGAGTATTTAACAAAATCACTAAATGATTTGTATGAGAATATATTTTGAGGAGTGCACATATTATATGTCTTAAGCCTAAACCACGACTTAGAATTAAGAAACCATCTTCAGCTAAAACTTCATCTAGTATCTCGCGTTGATATTGTAAAGGAAGGTTTGTCGTGACGGAAGACATGTCAAAAATCAGATACGGATACGTTTAATGAAAATCTGATGGATTTTAAGTTGACTGCATGACAGAATTTCTGTCTGATTGGCTGCAAGTATGCAACCTGCAGATCCTAATTATCCAATTGTGATTGGCCAATTAAAACAAATTTTTAAAAAACGCTATATTTCGAAAGAATTGCGATTGACACGAAATACTTCGAAAGAATTTAAATAATTGCTCTAGTCTTAAAATTTTATTAAGAAATTCACAACATTGCGCTAAGTAAGCTGTTCAGAAAACTTTTCCGGTCATGATGGTTGTTAAATAATCAAAGTTGGTCCAATATTCACTGAGATATAACCAAATCAAAGAATTCAAAGAATTCGAATATTTTCGAAATATTCAGAAAGATTTTAAAATTCTTTCGATTTAGCTATTTCAACGAATATTGGACCAATCTTGATGATTTAACAACCATTATGACCGAAAAATTTTTCCGATCAACTTTGCGAATTTTCTTAATAAAATTTTAATACTAGAGCAAGTATTTAAATTCTTTCGAAGTATTTCGTGTCAATCGCAATTCATTCGAAATATAGCGTTTTTTAAAAATTTGCTGATGCTAATTCTCATTTCACAGGCCACTCCAAGATGGTTTTTGAAAAATTTTAACAGTTTTTGGCAAAGTTTTGGCATAGGAAAAGCTGCCAAATCTGTTCAAAGTCTGACAAAACATGTCCAATTGCCAACACTAAATTATCATCACACAGGATGATAATATATACGTATTTACAGCTAATGAAAATTTAAATTCTAACCTGTCATCGTTATCCTATATAATGTCAAAATGAACTTATAAAAATTTTGGTCAAAGCTTTAATTTTGCCAAAGTGAAAAATTATTTATTTGTCTTCTATGTTATTTGCATAGTTGCGGCATAGAAAAATATTTGGACTCACTTTTATTAAGTTTAAGGCATATCTTTTTTTGGGTATTCGGCCAACTATATAAATCAAAACTTATGTGCAGTATATACCATATAAAAAAAATTTTTTTGAATTTAGTGACCAGTATAGTAATTGGGATTATTTATCACTTTATATACAGTATATATGTCAATAGTAAATGATGAATTAAATATTTTTGGATGTCTAGAGCGAATCGCTTTACTTCTTTCATAGTTATATTCTTAAACATGTTTATAACAAAGTTATGATAAAGAATTTTATGTTCTAGTATTAAAATTTTTACCTACACGAAAATATCTCTTTCAAATGTTTATAAAGAGCCAACTTGAAATTTAAAGATTACGTTAGAAGATTTCAATGTAACTTTGTTGTAAACGTAATTAAGAATAGATTTATGCTAAGAACCCCTTAACAATTTATTTTATATGGCACTGCATATAAGTTTTGATTTACATAGTTGACCGAATGCCCCGATGTCTTATGGATTAGTTTCAACCAAAACCAGCTTGGAATACTACGCTTTAATACAATGCTTTAAGTTTGGTCCCAGTTAGCAAACTTGGTTCGAATATTCTATCTACAGTAAAACGTATACTGTATTTTCCAATTAATATTCCTACCTACACTGGTTGTAATTAAAAAATTCAACACATCGAATGGCATTCGAATTATGCTATTCAATACGTTGAATTTTGTCTAGTGCTGTAGATTCCGTTTCCACTTACAGCATACATATGTGCAAAATCATATGGGCCGTCAATAGAAATCAAGCAGATTGACATTTTAAAAAAATCAATACCTTACCTTTCGCAGCTCATATCTCGATGAATTGTGATGCCAATTTTATTATTAAATAGCCAAAAGAAAGCTTAGATCTCAAGCATGCTTTTGTATATTAAATAATTAAACTAGATTCTAAATTCATCAAAATATGAACTTTGAAAGGTAAGGTATTGATTTTTTTAAAAAAATGTCAATCTACCAGATTTCTATTGATGGCAGCCCATATGATTAAATATATAAACAATTTGTGGGATTTTCACGTAAGATTTCTATATAAAATGAAAGCGTCGACACATGAATCGATAGCTTAGTGGTTGCGCTCCCGGGTTCTCAATTGCAAAGTCGTCGGTTCGAGTTATAAGAAACTGTGCCAGGGCCATGATTGAAGATCAGCCACAGACCGCCATAAGGATAAATATGAAATAACCGATAACGACAGGTACCAGTTAGGGTTGGCGATATCAAGAATACAATTTAAGGTCATTATATGAATGTACACTTTCCATTAAGAATGGCAAAATTTTTTATTATGTAATTAAAAACGCACGTCCGTAATCTGTGACAGGCTAAGCCACTGATTTCAATCACCGTCCGACTATGAAGTTGAATATATAAAAAACGATTTGATCATATTTGATTATTATTTATTTTGTTTGCGATTTTATAAATTAACTTCTTTTGTTTTATCTAACATGAGTAAAATGTGCAAATTAAAAGTTTAAATAACCTATCGACTTCTAATAAGATTTACTATAAAAGAGAAACAATTTTTTAATAAAGTTTCAAATGCCTCACAGGTTATACAAATTTGGATATATATATTTTTTAAAAAAACTTATAAAACGGAATTAAGAAAATGGATGAGAACGATATTTCCGGCATCACTTCATTTTTACTTCAAACTGTCAAAACATTAGGCCAACATTACGAAGGTGTTAGATAAATTCAAAGATTAATGAAATGAACCAAAAATAAAATCATCCGAATATTTTTCTTGATGATTTTAGTTGTGACTGTTCAATCAAAAATGCTGCGAAAATATGAGTTCACGAGTAAATGATATGGAATTCAGCTCTTCGAGTTATATTCATTCGAAAGAGGTAGAATTGAGTAAAAAAAGTATCTCTTAAATAAGAATGTGTTGAACAATAGAACGGTTAAAGAAACAACATATTGTTTGCTTTGCCTAAAAAGTAATTATATACTAGTAAAATATTTATGTGGTATTCATTATTTTAATTTTAAAGTTTTTATTTTTTTATATAAATATTTGTTTAGTCAATATCAAAAGGCAACTTTTGAATCTTAAGTTATTTTTTTTAATAGTTTGACAGTCAATCGGAAATTAGTGGAAGTGCGGTCATGTGACTGATCGACCACAAACACTACGGCCGTCTTCATTAATATAAAAATGTGATACAAAAATGTGACTTCTCACATGATCGATAAACATTCATATAATTGGCTAATTTCTGTAGAACTACGTTGTTTATTTTTGTTCGTGTTTACTAACTCATCAAATACGGTACCTTGTTTTTTAAAAAAAATTAACTATTCCAATTACACTAACTTCATACCTTTATGCGAAATATTTGAATGAAAAAGTAAGTATATTATTGACAATTATTTTGATGGAATTTACAAATACTAGACGTAAAATTTGTATATAAGTAAGGCGAAGAAAGGCCAACTGATTTATGTGGCGGGAGGAGAAGGGATCAGTTATATACCATTCTTCGCCAAAAAGGTTCGCCGATTCTGGTTGAGGAAATCGGTTACAACCTTTTCTTATATAACAATAACTTCGTCAATGTATTTTGTATTTATCATCTTTTTTATTTTATTTTATTTTTGTTTGATTATGCTTATTGTGAAATGTAATGCATTTCTAATTTTAATTTTCTTTTATATAGGTGACATTAAAAATGCGAACTTTCTTATAAAAAGAATTTAGTTAAGCGCAACTTCATATAATGACAAAAGATAGAACCCAAACCTGACGATGACAAAACCCTGACGAATTTGTTATTAATTTCATTTTATTTGTATTAATTTAAAGTACATATAATTAATATAAGAGAAGCTTTTAAATATGCTTTACAATTGGATTTTTAATTTTTAATTGTATTTAAATTAATTTAATTTACTCATATAAATAAAAACGGTATTACAAATCACATCAGCGGTGCTGACATATCTCAAAAACCGACAAATTAACTAATGTACTAGTTATTAATTCAAACTGTCAAAATATTAGGCTTACATTACGAACCGTGTTAAATAAATTCAAAGATCAGTGTAATGAAACAAAAATAAAGTCTCGAATATTTTTCTTTATGATTTTAGTTGCGACTGTTCAATCAAAAGTGCTGCGAAAATATGAGTTCACGAATAAATGATATGGAAGAAAGAAGAATTCAGCTCTTTTAGTTATCTTCATTCGAAAGAGGTAGAATTAAGTAAAAAAAAGTATCTCTTAAGTAAGAATGTGTTGAACAATAGCACGATTAAAGAAACGACATATCGTTTGCTTTGCTTAAAAAGTAATTATAATATTTGTTAATATCCAAAGGCAACTTTTGAATTTATAAATTGTTTTTTTTAAATAGTTTATGACAGTCAAGTCTTACTCTGGGAATATAATTGGACGGTGATTAAAATTAGTTACAGATTACGGACGTGCATTAAAAACAGGTGCCAGGTTTGACTATTCGGACTTTAATCATCACCTGTTTTAAATCGGTGAAAAAATGTTTAAACCTGTTTTTTTACCAACCCTATTTTCCATGGTTACCGATGAGATATCCAAATCGTTAGTTGAAAAACCAACTAGTTGACTAATCGATTAAATCATCAACTAGTTAAATTCCGAGATATTCGGTCTATTTCTTGACCAATTAACAATTTAGTCACATGATAGGAAAAATCGATTAGTTGCAACTACTAATCGATTGGAAAATTTTTTATCAACTCGGAACACTACTTCTGATGACACATTATGCTTTAATAATCAAACACCCCAAACTTTCCCTCTTGGCAGCACTTATATAGCGACAATATGAACTAATACTGGGGAAATGGGTAAGGCAACTTGCCAGAGGCGTGGTTATGATGATTTGAGTCTTGTAATAAGTTTATTATAGTGATCCTCATATCGGCTGATCCGCACGGTCCAATAAATATAAAAACCAATGAGTAACCATTTAGTCAAGTTTTAAATTATTTAACTTCAGGTCTGGTCAAATGATCAACCATTTGACCGGAATTATAATTCATTTGTTTTTATATTTATTAGCCCGTACGGATCAGCCATAGTGATCCAAATCGTTAGTTGAATACCAACTAGTTGACAACTTTCCAACTGGTCAAAAAAGCCTTGGACAGTGAAAAATGTACAACACTGCTTAAGGATGTTAAAAGTTCGGTTCGACTCGACTCCAAAGAGTTGAGTCTTTATTAAAGTTCTGTTCCAAGTCAGACTTGGAACTCGACCCGTAATTTCACGGCAACTTGTATTCTTGCATGCGTACACATTTTTTTTAGTGCACGTGAAAATGCGAGTTCCAGGTCTGACTTAGAACCGAACTTTAATAAAGACTCGACTCTTTGGAGTCGAGTCGAACCGAATCGAGCTTTTAACATCCATAGTACGTACGTACTTGCCAAATAAGTAATAGGTATCGACTGCTTCATATCCAATAATTGCGTGGATACAATATAAATAATAAACTAAAAATAGCAGTAAGTACAAAGGCTTTTAATATACAAGGCTCAGATTATAAAATTTTAAATACCAAAATTTATAAATTGTACAAACTTTTCTATCTAACATTAATAAATTAGAGATGGAACCTGTCATCCATTTATCCGCATTGATATCCAAAGGATTTATCCAATATAATATTAATACGTATAGCTGTACCTCTTGCACCAATGCTGTACCCCTTGCATTAATGCTGGACCCTTACATCGATGCTCCTCTTGCATTAATAAAAGTATCTTTCGCATTGATTATGCACCCCTTGTATTATGATATAAATCCGAATTCCTTATCAAATAATCGGGCTATCCATCTATTAATTTATTTTATCCAATTATCTACTAGATATTGAATATCCATACGAATTCTATCTTTAAATTTAGAAATATACAAAATATATAGAATATTTCTAACTTAATATAATATTTTATTATAATACTTACAGTTATATGCTAGCTATTTAATATATAAAATTTAAAATACTTTCAATATGCAAAATTAAAATTTAATTAAATTAATAAAATATATAATCTAAATAATCTTTAATATTAACAAGCTAATTAATAAATATAGAAAAACTTTAAATAACACAAGGTTAAATTAATTATAAAATCGTAATACGTATGCAAGTTTATAAAATATAAAGTCTCAATATGTAAATTTATAGATTATACGTATATATATATGCTATAGCTTTTATCACTATAAAATTAACAAAATTTAATATCAATACCGATACGTAATTATCAATATATAATTATACGTAGCTATTTTTAATTTTACGTATTATAGATTAATTTTTTAATTTGTTATATATAACTGTATAATATATATATATAACTTTACTATTAATTGGCTTCCGGATTAAGTTTATTATAGCTAATACCCTTTGTTTAATACAGAAATATAAACAATTATGGAATACGATAAATAAGTACATATTACTATATACATCTTATAGCAAATACATACTTATTTGTTATGCCTTTATATTAGATAAAAGATATTAGCTACAGTATAATAAACTTAATTTATTGCTTTTTTTATAGTGTTTAATAATTATAAAATGGAATTTGTAACGAAATACGTATACAGTCAGACCTCTATATAGTAACCTCCTTTATAGTTATATAAAACAAAAGGTGAGATTATAGAGAATCAATAATTATAAAAATCTTAAAATTAATATAAAAAAACGGATTTTTTAACTAAAGATTTTTTTTAACTTTCAACTTAAATATTTTAACAATAATTTATATCAAATTTGGTTAGATAGTTGTTAAGATATTTAATTTTAAAAACTAAAAAAAATTACTAAAAATAAATATCAATCATGTTCATTATTGTATGTTGATCAAAAAATGTAATAGATATAATTGCTAATCTACATATATTCTTTATCTTAAAATTTGGATTATGAAACAGTTTGTCCCCTTATAATTTTTTAATAAAACTCTTTGTTTTAAGTCATTCTCTAACCCAATCAAACCTTAAATTATCGAAATTAGTTAATGCAGGCCGATATCAATCGATTCAATTTCTTCAATTACCATTTTTTAACCAATCAATTGTTGTGGCGACTTATGCTAAAATTTAGTGTCTCTAATTAAACCTATAATATGTACCTACCAATATCCAAATATACTTTTTTTTAAATTAGAAATACTACCCTTAACCTGACTATCATAGCAAACTTTCAATATAAGCTACCACAATTATTAAATTAATCCATTCACATTGTAAATCTATTAATACATTAAATTTATTTATATCTATAGATACAATTTTAAATTCAACGATAATATAACCTATTTAATAATGTAATAACTAGATATGTTGTTGAAATTAATTTCATTAATTTCATCAGCATCTCTAATACTAACCAAAAATAATTTTAAAAAGTTACAAAATATTGTATACATACACATCATTCGTCTATATATACAGTACAATGATATCAAATATAAGTTCTATAAAAGAAAAATAAAATAAAGACAATCTAGAATTGTTAAGGAGAAGAAAACACATCAACATTATATAATGGATGTGGTAAATCCTTTAATAGTTCAGTAGTTGTAGGTGAAGAAGGATTAAGTGGGGTAGATAATGGGGAACTTATTTTACCCTCAGAATTGAATCTCAATAAACTATTAGGTCGTGATGTTATCGATGAATTTAGTAAGTTTACTCGAGATGAAGGTGATGATGGTGCACTGCTAGGTTTTATTCCTAATGAAGGAAGAGTGTCTCGACGATCATAAGATAAGGAGGACAAGTTGGGTGAACGTGATTCTGTAAATAAAGTCGAATTTGTCGAATTTGTCGAAGTTATTGATTGATCATTTTCAGAATTTTCAGAAAGTGATAACGCAGACAATGATTCCATTTCACGTAGATTTGGTGTTCCTGGAGTACTAATAATATCATCAGTAATTTCTACAGGTGACATAGTTTCATTACTACCTAAATCAAAATTTGATTTTGCAAGACTTGTTACGTTATAATATGCAGAAGTTCCAATACTTATAGTGGCTCTTGCTAAACTATTAGCGTTACTCATGAACCTATCTTTAATTGTATTAAATTCATTACTCTTGAACTTATTTTTGATTGTACTGAAATCGGTATTTCCTATTTTGGAGATATTGTTTTTCCAAGGGTCAAAATAAGGATTATCTTCATATAAATTAACACTTTTGCTAAGTGGAAATGATGGAGATGGAGATGGAGAGTCATCCTTCCAAACGTTTCCATCACCAAATTCGCTATTTGAGTTAACATTCGGAGACGCAGGTCGTGAAACAGGACTATTCGATCTCCATTTCATTCTTGCAGTAAAGCCTTCAGTTTTTTCATCTCGAATCTCATCATTATTGCCATTTAATTCATCATCTTTTTTATTAAACAATCCAGCCCAATATTTAACAATTTTCTCATCAGGAAATAATACACAATCATTATCTTTTTGATCATTAGAATTAGCCTTTTCGTCATATAAAGGATTAAGAAACATTTCTTTATGAGAATTAAAATAATCCCAAACCGAATAAGTTTCAGTAGTGACTTTATAATCCATTCTTTCTTTCTCAGAATTGCATAAGAAAGTTCCAAATTGACAAGAATAACAATGATAATGTAAATTGATCAAAAAATTTTCATTGAACTCAAATTTTTCGGGAAATTGAGACAAAATTTGAAAAACACAATCCAAAAATTGGTGAAAAACAGGAGAAATTTCACGGATATGAGATTGCTTTGTAAATTTGCTTTGTACGGAATTAAAAGTTGAACTTCCAGAATTAACAAAGTATTTTTCATTAGAAAGATGACCTGAACGATCGCTAAATTTATGACCAAAAGATACCCATTCTTTTTCAATTAGAACTTGAAAACCTCTGAAAGTGCGATAATAAGGATCAAGACAAAGTTCAGAAATTGAAGTCAATTGTACGGTACGATCCCATCCATCCGAACAATGGACAAGTACATGGGAAGCAGAAACATGCACACTTTTAATAATTACAAGGGCCGACTCCAATAAAGTAGAAATGTGCTTAAGCCAGCCGGATTTATCTAGGTTATACTTTTTAACTGACAAACAATTAGCATCAGCAGTATGTATCACTGTAACATTAAATTTTATTATATTATTATAAGTAAAAAAAAAATTTTTTTTTACAAAAGTACATATATAAAACGAATATAATATACCTTCAACCATTTTCCCTAAACTTTCTCTCATTACATGGATATTATCAATACCCATGAATTTTCTTTCACAATTTTTATAGTTTTCCACACTCTCAGTTCCAGCACCCATCGCTACATTGACCATAGCATTAGCTGTTGGACGAGCATCAATAATTAAATTTGTCTGAGTTACCCTTTCAGACAAAGTTTTAACATTTGACCTAAAAATAGCTTCAATGAGTTTTTCATCCTGAATTGAACGATTCTGTTTAAGTCCAACCATTGGTTGACTAGAACGAGTTATAGAAGCCTAATAAAATAAAATAAATAATAATAATAATAATTACTATGAAAAAATTTTTTTTTTATTTAAGCATTACCTAAACGACTAACCTTATTATGCCAATGTAAATAACTCAACACTGGTATGCGATTCTTACTCCGAAATTTCGATGCATGATTCAAAACATTATCACTAATTCTGGATGGAACAACTAAAGTTCTCGGGTATGTTGCACAAAACTATAATGATTAACGTTTAATATATAAGTAGAATATTATTATATGAATGTATAATAAAATTAAAGGAAAATAAATCGTACAGTATAGCTTCGATTCACATTTGAAAATCTCCATGAACCAGTCGAACTATCTACACCCATTCGATCGTATTCCTGTAGTACATCATAGACAGACCAGCCATCTGATGACGAAAATTTTTCTTCAAATATATGCTCAAATGCATAAACTTGTTTGATAGAACCTTTTTAATTCAAATAAATCAGTAGTCCAAATAAATCAGTAGTTCAAATAAATCAGTAGTTCAAATAAATCAGTAGCTCAAATAAATCAGTAGTTCAAATAAGTCAAAATTATACACAAAAATATATATACAAATACATATACAAAAATATATACAAAAATTATGCAAATATATATACCAAAATATACAAAATATATAAGCGAAGATATGACACATACCGATACACGTTAATCTTTGTATTGTATTAAAAATCTCGATCGCATCTTCTTGCATTTCCACAGAAAAAGTGTAAATTTTAAAATCACGACAACGAATGGTTAAAGGCCAAGCTTTAGGATCGGTAGTAGGAGAACGACGCTCGACGGTATGAATAAGAGGATATAAGATCTAAAGATTCAAGTAAATTGAAGTTTAAAGCTTAGAATCAAACATACGAAACAATAAATGATATAAAGTCACAAAGATTTTTAAAAGCATACACATAATTCATCCTTTTGAAGCGGGCCTTTAAAGAGCATTCTATGCGTCGTCAGGTAAAGAGTTCCAACCAAAGCATTCCGTCCTCTTTCAAGTAGGACATTTTCGACCTAGAAAATGAGACGAAATCAGCAAAGCATTTTTCCTCTTCTTTTATTAATCACCGGGATTTTTACGAAAATGAACCTTTGTGATCTTTAAAAGGTCCATGTCAATAGTACTACACTCTGCACCGATAAATAATGGCTTTTGTTTCTTTTAAAACTTGAGGTATTCAATTTTAACGTTAATGTAAGACAATCACGAGAATCATTTATCTATGTGTTACGTGTGACCAAACGTCTCTAATCATCGATTTACGTTTTAAGGTTTTTTAACCCAAAGTCTTAAATACAGTACACAATGTTCTTTTTAAGCAAAAGTTATTGCAGAGCAAAATGGAGCAAACGATGTTAATATCTAACCTTTTCCTATTAAGTACTATATTTTCAAATATGGCGATAATTTTATATTTCGTTATACGTATTATTTTTCAGTTCATAAAAGTGGAAATCTTGAAAGGGAGAATGTGAGGAGAAATTTAAGCAAAACCATTTTTATAGTATCAGTATGTAGATCGTAGCACTTGCTACGTAATTGTTTCTTTTAAATTTTACCTGTAAAAAATTTTTTATTTGAGTTAACTGTGGCAAATAATATTTACTGATCATATGTCTTTTGTTTTTTGCCATAACGATAATTTTGAGTATTTATAAATTTTATTTTTTTGGTTATATTAATTGTTATATTAACTGTTTAATGCACAAAATGTAATGTGATTTTTCTCCGAAGGTGTTTTAAATGGAAAAATCGGGGCGGAAATTGTCTTACGTAGACGGAAATCTCCGTCAATTAAAAATTAATGGACGGAGGTACATCCGTCCGTAGCTTTTTTCGCATTTCTGTATCGCTATTAAAATTTAATACGTACAATTTTACAATTTTAATGTTTACGTAGCACAAGAATGACCTCAATGGCTTTCTCATGTATGTTACAGTGTTAGCGAACGTAACCACAACGGAAAATACAAAAGTCATTGTTTTTATTATAGTAACAAATTTTTATTCAGTCTTTTTTCTTTTGTTAATTGGTAATACATTACTTTGTTTTACAAATAATGATGTAGAGATCTTCAATAATACGAATTTACTTTTTTGGTTATTAATACGTATAGAGTGATGTAGTCGTGTTATAAAGAAAATAATAATAAAAAATTGACATTCATTAAATTTGCGTAGAAACGGCCAGATATTGCATTATCTGTTATGTATAATTGCTACGTTTCATATGCAGCTAGAAGAGAACCAATAAATTGCACTAATTTGACCTTGCACTTTGGGGGCCGCCCTGGCTGTTTCATTTGCGTACATTACATTTTTAATCAGTATAAATTTAAACTTGTTTTTTTTTAAGCCGTTACAAACGGAAACGATGAACATTTGTTTTTGAGGCTTTTATTCGATTTACATTAAACTCAATTTTAATCAAGAAAAAATGTATTCAAATTTTCAGTATACAACAACACAATATTAAAACGAGTTTATTTATTTAAATCTTACAATATATTACAATATATTACAAACTGCATAAATAACATAATAAATAACATAATTATTAACTAAACAACAATAAAGATCAATAAAGACAAACGAGTATCCGTCGGTTGGTTATCCGGATCACGCGACGTGGACGCCGATACTCAGGTGATCCAAAAAGGTTTTTAGAGTAGAAGTCAAAAAACTGAAGGAACCAATACGGAAGCGACGTGGAAAGTATTTTATTTCCCATATGGTAAAACCGATTAAAACCAGTTTCAACATATGGAATATAAACTTTATGTTTCGACTGATTTGACAAGCATTGACCAGCCGTGTCACTAGATGAGACCTCTACTAGGAGTTTTACCCCCCATGGGTCGTTGATGATCACCCACATAAGTCCCTTCAGGAATGTGTATAATAGTAGTATTAAAAAACAATAAACAAACGAAGATAGAAAAAAAAACGTAAAAGGAAGCGAAGTAAAAAAAAACGAGATAGAAGGAAGAAGTAAACAGGCGAGAAAAAAAAAAAGATAATGAGATTGATAATTCGATTTTCTTTTTATTGATTTAGATAAACATTACATCATTATAAGTCATAGCTATTGACTCATTACAGATCTACTCGTGATTATCCAATGATAATTAACCAAATTACCCAAATTTCATTATTTTAATACTACTCATAATGTGCGGCGTTAAAAAGATGTGAAATTTCTAGAATTTATCTCAAGTGATCGATGTCACGTGTGCGAACAACAGTCTTTCGCTTCTCTTAGAAGAAGCTTATAAATTAATAAACAAACAAAAGAACTAATTTATCGCATATATGTGTTGTGCAAATTAATACCTGCATCAGATCAAAATTATTATGGTCCTATCCTTACCTTAATAGTGATTGAATATCAAACTTATCATAATCAATATCAGTATTTGGTTGATTAGTTAACGAAAATCTAAACAATTAGATTATAATTGAACACAAAAAAAGACTTATAATAGTAAAATTTACAACTTATTAAGCCTTAGAAATATTCGGTTCCCGGTTCAACTGATCCTAATCCGGGTTCAATGTCCAGGAATTAGGTTCAACCTTTCTTTGTTTAAAAAAAAATGCCATATATTAACTGACTTTTAATACGTAAAAGAATAGTTTATTTGCTAGAAAATATGTCATCGTATTGTGTAATGTGTAATTTAAGTAAATTAAAACAGTTTTTAATTTAAGAATCAATGAGTACGGTTGTTAATATTATATGTCTGATATGAATTAGGAAGAATACGCGTTCACAACCTATAAAAATTTGATAACACCATAACCAACTATATCTGATATAGCGATAGTATCAATTCGACTTATTAAATATATAAGCTTATACTGTACTTGGAAAGAAAAATCAATAATTTGCTATCGCATGTAGTTTCCTTTTATGCAATCACAATTCATACAGTCACAAGGTTTAACACTAACGCAAGCTGGAATAAGAAATCTACAACTGGTTTTATTTTCGGTGTACAGTCAACTCTCCCAAACCCAAACTTGGATAATCCGAACCCTTAATAAAAAAAGTTCAATACGTAGTAACTCTTTAAAAACTGAACTTTTTGATATTTTTACATATAAGAACGGACCGTTCGGAATAGAGAGAGTTGACTGTGCTTTCTTTTGACAGGTTACAAATATACAACCAAAAATAATGGTGAATAATGGTGAATTTATTATAAACGTAATCTCTATAAATAATATTTAATATTTAATTCTAAAGTGTAATTAGATCTCCAGCCTACAAAACGATGCGATGCCATTTTTATGGTATTTATATAACTTGTGTATAAACTTGATCTTGTTGAAAAAAGAATCTTTACACAATGAAAGTTTTACCAATCCGAAAAATATTCACTTTTACTGGCGATAGATTACTATATACGTACCAATACGTATTAAGGTTTGATGTTACTAAATTTGTCAGTACAATACTTTCTGAAAACGAAAATTTTTTATAAGTAAATCTCATTCAAAAAAATGTACTTACTGTATTTGCGCGAAATAACATCACGAGGCATTATTTTGAGGCATGCAATTTAAAGAAAACTCTCATTTAATTTACCCAAAGACTTTTTAAAAAATAAGATTATAGTTCACATTCGGTTAGATTAATGATGAGTTCTCTTTAAATTACATGCCTCAAAATAGCGCCACGGGGTATGTATCTTCTTTATAATTAATTATTCCGAATTTTAATAAGAAATTTTGGTGGTTATTTAAGAATATACATTGAAAAAGTGAAGTGGCTGAATCACAAGTAGACCAATCAAAAAATCAAACGAATCGTTTTATTTTTTTTAGAAAATGCGCTACATCTCAAAATTCTATTAAACTGCTTTGTGGAATTCGTTGTAAGAAAAAAAAATAAATACTTTTTTTTTCGAAACTTTAACTTTATCATAATCTTTTTAAAAACTTTAACACACTATATTCAAACAATATCAATTCAGTCTAATTACAGAATTATACGGAATTGACCACACTATTTCGTAACAATGATAAGGTCGGTTTGCATGTTTTATGTATATGCATTTATTTTTCCAAATTTTGATTTCCTTTATATAAATTTTTACCATAATTCTAATAATAATTAAAATTCAATATGTATCTAAATTCGGTCTTCAACAGTTCTACGTACATATTAGTTATTTCTATAATATCTGATATTAGATTTTATTTCGCCGTATTATCTCTCCTGAAATTGCTGAAATTACTGAAATTGATAGTAACCAACAGTGTGACCAAAAACCATTATTTTGGAACATTTTGGAACATGCCACTAAACGTGATCTAAAGCTACAATAGGATTTTGCCAAGGAACAGTAAAGAGAATTTGGATTATTAAGCTTCTCATGTCACGTATAAAAACTTCCCCCATTAACATATGGCGTGTCAGCAGAAACGCAAATTTTATTTTTTATTAAAACTTTTAACAAGAATAAATTTGACAAAAAAGTTTTTTTAAAACCAAATTTGAAACTTTTTGTTCAATTTATTTATTCTTGTTATCGTTGTTCAACGTTTAAAAAAAGATTAAAAAAACACATTTTGTTACGTTTCAACTGACTGACCCCCATATATAAATGACAAAGAAGACCATACGTAGGTGTATAGTTATTTGATTGGTTAGTCGCTATATGTGCATTTCTATTGGTTAACATTATACTCATCGTGAGATGATTCATTGGAACACTGGGAATATTGGAAAAATATGGAAGTCCAGCTTCCAGTCGATAATACTTCTACTATGACAAATAACGGACAGAGAATTGGTGATTCTTTCTACCCTAACTATTCTTCACAACACCCATATCAACAGCATCGACACTCTAATGCGGAGGTGTCTCACAATCCAGCTTCTATAAGTGTACCTACCTTGAACTCATACTCGTTTGACGGTGATTTTCCCACATCACAGCAATATTCACAATACTCACAACACCCTGAATATTCTCAACAATCGCAATACTCTCATCGTCCAAATAATGGCCCAACACCAAGGATCTCCGTTCATCCGGTTCAGCCATATGAAGGACGCCCACCATCGTTGACATCGCGGTTGTCCGGTCGACGACCCCAACCTCCTCCTTCTCAATATCCACCTAATATGTCACAGCATCCTTCGGTTCCTCAAAGATCAAAGTTAATTATTGGTATGTTCATTATTACTTTGTAATTTTACCTTTTTTTTTCCTTCCTTTTTTTTTTCTTTTTTTTTACGCATTTAAAATTATTATGTACATGTTTTTTCTTATTTTTTATTATCATTTCCGAGGTTTAATACAATTATCATGAAATACATAGATGAATTCACAAATATTATCGATGACCTTTTCAATAGGTACTAGCGCCTCAAATCTTGTCCCAAACTATTCCGATGAATATATTCCCCCTTTTCGAAAGTCAATGGAAAACCTTCGTAATAAAAATTATCATTCAACTTATCATTCTGAGCGCATTCGTTCATTATCATATTCTGAGCCATCACCACCATCTGCTGGTTCAGATTCATCAAGTACTCCTTCATCTCCATCTTCTTATGTTGGGAAACAGCATGCTCCAATTGTTTATCCGGCTTTACTTTCAAAGGTTGCCGATGCATTTAGGTCCAGGATGATTCTTTCAAACAGGATGAAGGATAACCTCGAATATAAAGATTGTTTTGATGGGAGAGAAGCTGTGGTATGGCTCTGTTGATATTATTACTACATCAGAATTAGATTATACAATAATAATAATAATAATAAATAAATATATATTTTTATATATATTTTTATATATATTTATTTATATATATATACTTTTTTTTTAATCTTTAAATTATGTATCAAAGGATAAGATCGCATTTATAATGAAAACTACGGATAGGAATTTGGCTTTATTACTTGGTCGTGCCTTAGATGCTCAAAAATTTTTCCATGATGTAACATATGATCATAGACTTCGTGATTCTTCAAATGAATTATATCAATTCAAAAAAATGTTATCAATATTATCATCCGATAATTATGATCATGTTGAATATGGAAAAGAAGATAATACTGAAGATGATGCTGAAGAAAGTGATTTACCAAATGGTGTTTTTACTTTGTTGACCGATTGTTATTCTCCTACATGTACCAGAGATAATTTATGTTATAGTATTATTTGTCCTAGAAGGTTGGAGCAAGTAGGTATATTATAATTTCGTTCTTTTTTCATATGAATCAGTCCGTGATTTAATATAATTTTATTAATGTTTAAATATAGTCTGCACGTAAGAATATGAAGCCAACTACTCTTGGCCTTAAACGTAGTGCTAGTCGTGGTTCTCTTTCTGACAAAAAGGTAATTATAATTATTCACCTTTTGTTATTATTTATGTTATTTATTATTTGCCATTATTTATTATAAATATCTTAAAATAATTACCCTAAAATTCTTTTTAATAGGATCGAAAATTATGGATTCATACTGTTCCTCCTGAAATCGCTAACTCTGTTTCTGAGGCGGAAAAAAAGCGTCAAGAAGCTATAAATGAAGTTATTTATACTGAGAAAGATTTTGTACATGATTTAGAATACCTAAGAGATGTATGTCAATATACTTTTTATTACTACTATTTTGATTATATTAATTCTATATTAATTCTATAATAAATTATTAGTGTTGGATGTCACCTCTCTTAACTCAAAATATTATTCCTGAGTCTCGACGTGAAGAATTTGTCCATGATGTTTTTTATAATATAATTGACATTTACAATGTTAATTCTAAATTGAATGATGCACTTCAAAAACGACAAACTGCCTATACCATTGTTGAACAAATTGGTGACATCTTTTTAGAATATATTCCATTATTTGATCCTTTTATTAAGTATGGTGCACATCAATTATTGGGAAAATATGAATTTGAAAAAGAAAAAACCAATAATCCAACATTTGCAAAATTTGTTGAAGTAATATCATGGTTTCATATTTTTATTTTTAATTATTATTATGTTTCTTCTTACTTACCTTTTTTATTTTTGAAAATAATGAAAAAAATTATATTTCATTATAGGACACTGAACGTCTTCCTGAATCAAGAAAATTAGAGCTTAATGGATATCTTACAAAACCTACAACCCGTCTTGGAAGATATCCATTACTCCTTGAAGCTGTTCTTAAAAATACTCCTAGTGATCATCCTGATAAAGTTAATATACCAAAGGTAATCAATATCATAAAAGAATTTTTAACGAATGTTAATATAGAATCTGGGAAATCGGAAAATCGTTTCAATTTACAACAATTAAACGATCAATTAATTTCTAGAGGGAATGAGGTATGTAATTTTATACGTTTTAATTTGAATTCTTTTGTTAAAACTATTAAATATCTATTAATTATCTATTAATTATTATTACTAATTAATTAATAATTAATTAAATAATTTCTAATAATTTAATAGGATCTGAAATTAACTGAAGAAGGACGTCAACTTGTCTTTAAAGGTTCTTTAAAGAAACCTTCTAGAGCTGGTGAACCATCTGATCTACAAGTGTTTCTGTTTGATCATGCTTTATTGATGGTGAAAACTAAAACTGTAAATAAGGCTGAACATTATAAGATTTATCGGAAGGTAAATTACATTATTTGTATTTGATAAAAATTCATTTGTTTAAAAAAAAAAAATTTTTTTTTAACGAGATATTAACTCATTTCATAGCCCATCCCTCTTGAATTATTGAGTATTTCTACATCAGAAGGACAATCTGAGACTAGCCGTTCGAATTCGAAACGGCCACAGTCAATATTACATGGAATGCCTGGAAAGGCTCAAGCAGCTACTCGTGGAAGTAACAGCAATCAATTTGCATTAACATTATGTTGTCTCGGGAAAAAAGGTTTTGCGGTAACTTTATATGCAACGACAGTTATCGGTCGTAAAAAGTGGATCGAACATATAGAAAAACAAAAAGAACTCAATGAAAAAGGGAAAGTATTTGAGAAAACTGTATTAATAGAAAAAAGACATTTTCATGAAACCCATAAGATTCTTTGTGCCGTATTTTTCGGTAAATTTATTTAAATATAAAGTTATTTATTATTTCTCAATAAAAAAAAAAACGTTTCAATAACGTTTCAATAATAATTACTTATTTATTGTTTAGATGATTATCGAAAATTAGCCTTTGGAACGGATAATGGTGTATATGTGCTAGATATTAGTCAAAATCAAACATCTGCAGTTCAAGCATTACAAATAGAAAAAGTACATCAAATCGAAATTCTTGAAGATTATCGATTAGTACTTGTATTAACTGGTAAGGGTAAGTATTTATAAAATTCAATTAGTTTTCTCTCCTTTTCTAAGAAAGACATCATTTGTGATACTCAAAATGATAATTTTTTAAGACAAAAGCCTATATTCATACCCAATTGATGCATTGGACCCTAGTGATACTAATGGGACCAGTAAGCGTTCAAGGAAAATTAGCGCACACACCAGTTTCTTTAAATCCGGAACTTGTCGAGGAAAAACTTTAATAACAGTTGTAAAAAATAGTACACTTCAATCTACTATCAAGACTCTAGAACCTCTTGAACAAAATGTTAAAAATAAAATTAAAGGTCCAACTTTTAAACTCTTGCGTGGAAGTAGTGATGTATTAAAAACATATAAGGTAGTATTTGTGATGTTGATGTATCTTTATGAAGATTTATAAGTTTTAAACTCTGACTAATATATATGTAATATACTTTCGGTTTTTTTTTTTTTACATCAGGAGTTCTGTATACCTGCAGAATTAACGTCAGTTCATTATCTAAAAAAGAATTTGTGCGTAGGTTGTACGAAAGGATTTGAAGTAGTTGATTTGGAGACTCTTAAGACGCAAGGTTTACTGCATCCGGAAGATACTTCACATGATTTTGTACTTAAAAAAGAAAATGTAAAGCCTATTGCTATTTATCGTGTTGGAGGAGGCGATTTTCTATTATGTTATGATGGTAAGTTTGAATTGATTCTTATATTTTAAAACGTAAATCCCTAAATTAAATAATTAAATTAATTTTTTTATAATAATTCACCCTTTTAGAATTTGCCTTCTTTATTAATAAAGAAGGATGGCGATCACGGCCTGATAGGCTAATAACGTGGGAGGGTACTCCAACTTCTTTCGGTATATATTTATTTAATTTTGATATTACCTATCATTTTTAATATCTTTAATAAGTTTGTTTACTCATTTATTGTATTATCTTTGCAGCCTTCCACTATCCTTACGTTCTTGCATTTGAACCTTCATTCATTGAAATACGTCATATCGAAACTGGTCTTTTGGAACAAATTATTATAGGACATAATGTACGCTATCTATATTCAGATCCTCGTGGAAATATTTTGGTCGCAACGAACGATACTATGACAAATAATTCGGAAGTATTTTCTTTGAATATTCCAAATGGAAGGAGAAATTCTTTAATTTCGGAGGCTACGAGTATTGCTACTCTAGTTTTTGCATCTGAAGATGGTAATAATAAGTTTGATTCTGAAAGTTGATAAAACACTATTTATTTGAAGAGTTTTTTGTAGTATAGCCGTTGTATAACAGATACGCTCAAAGTTATTCTAGAATTTAATGCATACCAAATTCTTTGATATCATAATCGATCATCATTCATTACATTATTTCATTTTTTGTATTTTCATTTAATTTTTGGCATGGTACTGAATTTTTTTGGATGGGATGGTTAGAATTATTTTGATATTTTATCATAATTTTTTTCAATTATATATTTATATATAGTTTTATATTCATTGTTATACATTTTTTGTCTGATTTGTTTACAATATAGATGTGTTATATAAAATATATTTATATATTTGTTAAAGATGAATTAATGTTTGTTCTTGATTTTTCTTTATAAAAATTAATTACTTTATAACATAACAAACTTAGTCAATGTTATATCTGTAAAATAAATAAATTAATAATAAATGTGCGCCATTTTCTAATTTTTTTTTTTTTAACGCCGATTAATAAATGTCTTTAAAAATAAAAATAAAAGATACATTAAGTCTCTTACAAAATAATGTATATATTTTTACGTCGGAGTTGTTAGCACGTGACTGGAGTTAGTTCCCGAAATTAACTTTATCTGTAAGTGTTAACTTCAGACGTAATATACCTGTTTACGAATATACCGTACCAAACAACAAAAATATATTCAATTTTTTTAAAAGTGCAAAATTTTAAGATTATATGCTTACAAAAAAGAAGAAAAAAAAAATCAATTATTATATTATAAACTTTAAATCTTAAAAAAGAGTTATACTGCAAAATTTTATTAATACAATTACTTTTGTGCTTTAAGTAAAAAAATAATTTTGATTGTATTCCAAATTAATTTATGTACAAAAATTACTTTTAAAAAATTTTGCAATTTTTTTTCTATAACACCTAGCTTATATAGTCAATTTTTATATAATTTATTTTAATTGGTCAATTAATTATATAGAGAATTTTATTTTTTATGGATGGAGTCTCATAGCCTAGTGGTCTAGGCATCCTTTTCTTTACAGACAAGGTCAACAGTTCAATTTTAGCTGGAGGCAAAAACTCTGTAATTTACAGAAATATATGAATATATATGAAGCTTTGTGGCTAAGTTCATGTGAATAGAAGATCAATGTATAAGGAAGTTTCTGAAAAAAAGTTTCCCAATATAAAAAGTTGGCACTTAATGTAAAAGAAGCAATAAACATATCAGAAATGAAAAAAAGATGCATTAGCAGATGATACAGTAAACATAAAAGAAAATTATAGAAAAAGAATAAACTTATTGAAATTTGAACACTTTTAGTATTAAATTAGTTCTAGTAAATATAGAATCTACTAAAATTGGATAAATCTAAAGAATAATTAATCTTAATATTATACTTAGTAAGTTTGTATCAAGAATAAATTTGAAGAATTATGAATACTTAGTAATATTCAATAAGGTAATACTTATACTGATCAAAATTTTTTAATATAAAAGGCTAATATAAGAAAAATAGTTAAATGAAATATCAAAAAACAAATATTTGAATATCATATAGAAGAAATTATAATAATTAATAAAATCAACAAACTATTAATTTAAAATCATAAAATGATATAATAATGTTATACTAATATTTTTTTTAAATATTAATAATGAGGCTATGCCTCTATTTTTATTAAAATTCAGTTAAACTTTTTACAAGTAAAATATACAGAAAAATTTATAATTGAATTTTATATCTATAAGATATTAAGATTAGAGACTCAGACAAGTTATCTGTGACCTAAATCTAGTTATACTAATATTTAAAATTTAAACTAAAATAAAGATAATATAAAATGATTAATATAATCATCAATAAATATTGAGTAATAATAATAAATAATTATATGATTATATAATTATATAAATTATAAGAAGATATTAAAACATATAATATAGTTAATAATATATAAATCTAACAAAACTGATATAAATCATATTTAAAAAGATAATAATTAATATATAATAATATAAAAAATTACAAATAATATAAAATCAATATATAAAATATTATTATATAAGCTTAATATTAAGAAAATAACTTATGATTAATAAATTTAACTAAATTTATTAACTAATAGTTTCATGAATTAATTTTTTTTGGATATTCAACTAGCCTCTTTTGGGCCTAGGGTTTTATTCAGTACATTGGACATAGGGACTTGCGGCCGAAGCCTCATAGAAGTCACCTTTACATTAGAAAGTACAACTAGCCACACGTACACTTTTGGTGTCTAATTTAAGTAGTCCGCCAATG